GGGGTCCTTCAGGGAGGTGTTCCTGGCAACTTTCTGCGACGCACCAAAGCACCAAAGCGACGGTGTCATTTCGATATTTCCAGGTCCTACTGCGATATCCAACGTCAACCCTAAACCCTAAACCCTAAACCCTAAACCCCAAACCTTAAACCCCAAACCCTACATCTTATTCCCCAAACACCAAACCCCAGACCCCAGACCCCAGACCCCAAACTCCCAACTCCCAACCCCCAACACAAAACCCTAAACCCTAAACTGTAAACCCCAATCCCTAAACCCTAAACCCCCAAACCTAAACCCCATTTCCTAAACCGCCAAACCTCACCCCCGAACCCTCAAACCTAAAATGAGGTACCTCTGGCCCACAAGCACTTTTGAAAACCATTCCGAACGTGTCAGGATGATCCCGACCAGTCCACCAGGACAACACATGCCGTCACATCACGAGAACATGCCGCAACCCTCTCGTTCGCAGACAGTTGACTAATCCCATTTGGGGTACTTTCCCATCCTCAGACAACCCTGCTCCTCGTAAGGGGGCTGCAGAGAGCATTTTTACCAATCTGGAACACGAAACAGAGCACACAAGCTTCAAGTTGTTCGGCAGATACGTCGATTCACTAGATACTGTATCTAAGACCAGATTAGCTCTGATTTCACCTATTTTCAGTGTCCCAGAACGGCGGATGTACGCTGAACAAGTACTCCAAATTCAGCAGAGGTGGTGGATTATTACCTACCAGTGTCCTGCCAAAAATTGAGGGTTCGTGGAAGGCGCATCCGGCAGTTGGAACAGCTCCTCCATGCGACCTGCATTCCTGCCGCCCCTCCCCGCTGCAGTAGCAAGGGATTTCTGAGGAAGGGGAGAAAAGCTGCGAACCAGCACCGAACGGAGGTGCCGACCTGCCACCTTCGACGACAGGCTGGCGAGTGTGCATGCCAAGCGCCCACAGCCATTGGAACAGCTCCTCCATACCCCCTGGCACCCAAAGGAGCCACAACCCCCTCAGAAAATGTTGCTTCTCTTTCCTGTCAAAATGACTTCTAAAAGTTGCGTGTCAGCAAAGTCGTATATAAACACTTCAGTTGAGCGTCTCATAACGATTCGTTTTGACAGGATTGCTTGCTCTTGTGGTCGAGTTGGTACATCGCTGCTCCTGGATGCGGGAGGTACCTGGTTCGAACCTCGGCGGGTGCACCGATGGCGCTTTTTTTTTTAATACATCTGTTTAGAAGAAACGCCAGAGGCTGTGTCCGCATGCTGTCAAGCCTTCTTGGTGTGTCTTGTGAAAAAAGAAAGTCAGACGTCATCAAAAAGTTCATTGTTTGGATCATGTCTTACACCCCTTCGAACCAATTGACGCTATCTTTTCGAAAGGGCGTAAAACATGATGACGCAGGGACCAAATCAATAAAAAACGACCGGATTTAGGTTTTCGTATTGTTCTGACCTTCTTGCGAAACATTCTCGAAAGAGTGCCGCGCGGCGCTGCAGCACCTGGGTGCTGATCAGCGCGTGTGAGCAAAGAGAACCGCTCGCAACCGGAAAAGAAACTGTTATGTGCCGCAGGTCTCCATTCTGCATATTGGCATTCTGTGCGGCAAGACCAAGGGCCAGGTTCAGAGCGCCTCTCCATCCTCGCCAAGCACTGCACAACACTCAAACCCTAAACCATAAACCCTAAACCTAAACCCCGAACCATAAACCCTAAATCCTGAACCCTGAATCCTAAACCCTAAATCCTAGACCTTAAACCCTTAACAATGAACCCTAAACCCTAAAACCCTAAACCCTAAACCCTGAACTCTAAACCTTTACTTGACCCTAAAACCTAAAAAAAATATATATACCCTGAACCCTAAACCCCAAAACCTAAACCCTAAACACTAAACCCCAAACCCCAAATCCTAAACCCCAAACACCAAACCCCCAAACCCAAAACCTGAGCCCTGAGCCCTAAACACTAAACCCTAAACCCTAAACCCTAAACCCTAAACCCTAACCCATAAACCATGATAAACCGTAAGCCCTAAACTTCAAACCCAAAACCCCAAACCCCAAACCCCAAACCCAAAACCCCCAAACCCCAAGCCCCAAACCCCAAACCCCAAACAAACCCTAAACCCTGAACCCTGAACCCTAAAGCCTAAACCACAAACCCAAAACCACAAAACCTAAATCCTAACCCTGAACCCTAAACCCTAACCCCTAACCCCAAATCCAAAACCCTGATGAAAGCTGAACCTTCAACCCCAAACCCTCAACCCTAAAGCCTGAACCATCAACCATCTACCATCAACCCTCAACCATAGCCCCTACACCCTAAACCCTGGACCCTAAACCCTAAATCCTCAACCCCAAACCCTAAGCCCTAAACCCCAGGCCCTAAACCCTAAACACTGAACCATCAACCCTGAACCCTAAACCTTAACCCTGAACCCTGAACCACAAACCCTAAACCCTAAAACCCTAAACCATGCAACCCTAAACCAAGAAACCTAAACCCTGAACCCTAAACTCTCAACCCTCAACCCTCAACCCTCCACCTTCAACCCTAAACACTGAACCCTCAACCCTCAACCCTCAACCCTCAACCCTCAACCCTAAGCCCTAAACACCGAACCCTTAACTCTTATAAACCCAGAACCCTAAACCCTAAACAGTGAAAACTAAACCCTGAAACATACACTCTCAACCCCAAACCCTAAACCCTACACCCCAAACACTTAACCCTCAACCCTAAACCCTGAACCCTCAACCCACAACAAACCATAACCCCTCAATCCCAAACCAAAACCCCGAAACTCTCAACCATAAACCATAAACCATAAACCCTGAACCCTAAACCCTAAACCCAAAACCCTAAACCCCAAACCCCAAACCCCAAACCCTAAACCACAAACCCTAAACCGTGAACCCTCAACCCTCAACCCTCAACCCCCAACCCTAGACCCTCAACCTTAAACCCGAATACACCCTAAACCCTAAACCCTAAACCCTGAACCCTAAACCCCAGCCCCGAAACCATAAACCCGAATACACCCTAAACCCTGCGCCCTCAACCCTAGACCCTTAACCCTAAACCCTGAACCCTAAACCCTAAACCCTTGATCCTAAACCCTGAACCCTAAACCCTCAACCCTAAACCCTCAACCCCAAACCCTGAACCCGAAACCCTAAACCCTAAACCCTAAACTCTAAATCCTAAACCCAAAAACCCTAAACTTTAAACCCCAAACCCTAATCCATGCTCGAACCCTCTCGTTCGTGGATGTTGACTAATCCAGTTTTCGGCCTCGGAGCCCGCCAGGTCATCGAAAGTCAACTCCGGTGTCAACTTAAGGTCTAAGTCAATCATGCGTGGAAATGATGGGCGGGGCGGGGCGGGGTGCAAAGGTGCCCACAGGGCGGTGCGTGTCCTCATTCGAGAGTGACAGGGGTACTTGGATCACAAGAAAGCGCCTCCCCCTGGCCGTTTGCTAGAAACTACAGAAGTACCTCGTTCATAAGAAAGCGCCCCCCCCCTAGGTCCTTTAGGTTCATCGAGCTCTCAACGTAGGCGGACACCGGAACTCACACAGGACCTCATACGGCCCTATAGGCCTATGTATAGATACATAGGCGTAGTGTAGGGTCCTGAGGGGGGTCGATTTCCTTTGCCAGCAACTGCGAGAGGCCTCGCGTGCAACTCGCGTGCACGGTATCCCTTAAGTCACGATGGAGTCAGAATTGACCCCAAAGAGGGCCTAGGCAGGTCCTAGGGCCCTACGATAGGACGTATGAGCCTACTCGCCACTTAAGGGATATGGGTTTTGGGTTACGAGCCTGGGCAATAAGGGTGGCTTATTGTCAGAGCTACCATGTGGAAAGAACCTTGAGAAACCTCGGCATTTTGAATCCTAGAACCGTTACTGCAGGTTGACTAATGCAGGAACCGTTACAGCGCCACCTTCAGGGGTACCTCGCTCATAAGAAAGCGCACCCCCCCTAGGAAGACCGTAGGGCCCTAGGCATAGGCCTGCATATTCTTCTACGAGTCGGCCCTTTCTCATGAGCGAGGTACCCCTGTAGACGGAGATCCCAGGGACACTCAGCATTTTCGTTTTCCGGGGAAAGGTTTTATGACGTCATTCGGGGTCGGAAATCGCCAGAGTAGAGCTTCTACGTTGTGTTCCGCCTTGAAGGTTTTGCGACGCCAACTGTTTTTGGAGGCGATCGGTAAATTGTCAGAGTCGCGTTTATCGCCACGAGTGGGTCGCAAGAGAAGATGTGTGGGACGTTCTGGGCTGTCCTGGCCATTCTCGATGCCGAATCTGCGCCCGATGACTCCCGTATGCCCTTGGGAGGTGAAATCATAGAGGTGGTGATCAGATGTGGCCTCGCCATTTTCATTTGCGTGTGCGACAGGGTCCTTTTCTCAGTCATCTCAGGCACATGCTGGCCATGAACACGAGTCCTGGCTGCGTCCCGACGTTGTCAGCGCGGTAAAAAGTGCGGGTGTTATCGTTACGAAGGTACAGGTCTGGACAGGTGGGTGATATTCAAAAGAGATGTCTGCCGACCCCCGTCTTTCACGGATCAACGATCTCAATCTGCTGCCTGGGCGCGCCATTATCACGGCAAAACCTTTCGGTTGCCCTTCAAAGAACGCTGACAACGACGTTTTCAACATCCCCTCAATTTACAACTCACAGGGGATGTTTACAACACTGGGACTATTATTGAACGTTTCGGCACGGTGATCAAATCCTTCAGAATTCGTTTTTTGTCCAAACAAGGGGGCGGATGACGGTCCGTGGTTTTTTTGAAGTCATTGTCAACGGTTCTCCTCGCTGTTCGTTTGTTGAAGGGGCGGATGACGGACGGGGTCGACGTTTTTTGTCCATTTTGCCTGAACGCGCCATTTTCTCTGGAAGACGTTGACCTCAATTGCGACCGGCCCACAAATCAAAACGAGGATGGCAGGATTTAACCGGCGCACGACGCTTTCTTGAAGCTCACGACGCTGTCATTACTACATACCGACTGTTGACATCGGAACCGTCGGGCAGTTCTGACATTTTGGACCATTTTGGAATTTCGCCATTCTTCGGCGATCATTTTTCAAATTTACTACACACGGGCTTGGCATTTTTCGGCAAACAGAACCTTTTTGGAAGTGGTCAAACCATTATCCAGGTTCATTTTTCCATGACCGGGAAATCTCACAGTTCTCACTTCGTTTGATTCGGGTACGAATACAAAAATTGGTACGTGTCCAACTTGTGGGGGCTTGACTGCACAAAACTGTAGTCAGGCCAGAAATTACCCGAACCGTTTGCCCCCTGGATATCTGATCAAGGGTACCTCATGCAAGACACGCCCATCAGAGCACCAGCATCACGACCGACGACGCTGTCTTACTATTTACGACCTGCTGGCATCGTAATCTTTGTCAGCTGTCTCATCCCCGCCAATTTACAACACAGAGAGATTGGACGCATGCTTGACGGATGGAGGTGGGGAGTTTTTCACAAGGCAAAGATCGACATTTTTGACCGTTTTGTAATTTCGCCATTTTTCGGCGATCATTCTTTCAAATTTACTACACACGAGGTTTACATTTTCCGGCAGCCGACGAAGTGGTCAAACCATTATCCACTTATCAATACCGAGGATGACAGGAGTCAACCTCCCGACGTTTCATGTTCAAGACGCAGTCAGGTGGCACTCAGGGGGGGTGTTAAGTACATACAGAGTGATGAGAGAACCTGATGTCAATTTAGTCATCCCCGCCAATTTACAACCCACTCAAATTGGACGCGTCGGTCAAAATTGGTCGTTTTCCCCCCTTGGAACCAATTTTACAACACGGGGTTTCGGGTTTGTGCAGCGGACTATTGTTCAGCAGGTCGGCATGACGATGCAAAGTAGTGAGTTCGTTTTCCAAAACAGGGGCCGGCTGCCTCCCCGTCCAATATTTTCATTTTTTTGTAAAAGGCATCGACATTTTTGGCCATTTTGCAATTCCAAATTCGTCATGAAATTTACTACACACGAGCATTTATTTTCGGTCAGCAACCGAAGTGGTCATAATGGTCAAACCATTATTTCATGTTCATTGATTCATGACCGGATCATCACAGCTCTCACTGTACCTCAAGAGACGACATCCGACCGCCAGCATCACCACCGACGACGCGCACCATGCAGGCTCA